CTAAGATTTCCAAAGGGAAAAATGATAGTCCCAAGAAAATATGCCATCATGGCTCTTTTGAGAAGCATCACTGGAACGATGAATCAAATTTCGTGATTGAGCTGAAAGAAAGAGAAATTTCACAATAAATATAATTTCAAACAAAACATTTCAATAAATTGTTATTATAATCTGTTAAGAGATGCATTCTAATAAAGTTTTGATTTTCAACAATTACATGTTTTTATTGACTTACATTGTTCCTTTAGTAATTAGTATTTCTTAAAATAAGGAAGAAATAAAACAAATTTTTTCTTATTGTTATTGATATCTACTAAACTGAGATTACTTTGGCACAAGGATAAAGTGTGGGTCATCTAATTAGAATCTAACTCACTGACAATATTCATTCATTATACCTCTTAATTACTTGGGGAACATATGGCCATAACAACACCTCCCCAATGGATGCAGTTCTGGGTGATCCTCTTCAGCTTGGCCCAGGTCATACCAGCTGCTTTCCTGGGGGATATTATCCAGCATGCGTCATATATATATACAGAAGAGTGTATACTCCGAGGACTCTTCCTCGTTTATGTCGTTGTTTGAAGATATTGTTGAAGTTTGTGTAACAAGCTAGTATTTAAGTGAGTGGTTTGTTAGCACAACCCCCAACCTGGTGTGTCTTTTATCTGGCTCCTACTCAACAGACCTGTTGAAATTGGTTGGATCTGCTAAGAGCTGAAGTCCCCACCCACATAGCTCTGCGGGTCGTTGAAGCATGCAAGCCACCCTGCCATGTCAAGGCAACACACCATCAAGACTGACAATAGTGTAGTGTACTAATTGTGTTTTACTGAACAATGAACATGAATAAAGAAAACATTTAAGCTAGTGAATTTTTTGTGTATGTGTAATTTGGTGTGGGAGAAAATCCTAGAAAAAAATGAAGTGAAAGGTGCATATGTACATGTGTGTGTATGTGTTGTTCATGCCTTTTCCAAAAAGGGAATGTGTTCTGTAAGAAAATTACATGTTTATATAAAAAGTAAGAAGAGGCTTCAAATAATTACTGCAGAGTATTTATAGTGCTGGAAAGTGTCCCCTAGCTGCAGTTTTGAAAATTCGGAAGAAGTAACCCAACAATAGTAATGTGGCCCAAGATGAGCTTGTTAACCACTACTTTATAGCAAGATATTCTTACTGATATTTACTAAACTTATTTTAGTAAGGCATAAAGAATTTAGGAAGATTGTTTTGCACCAAGGCTTGAAGGGATTAAAACCTTTCTGTTTTGATCATTAGCATTCACAGTGTTGGATTTTTACCTAATCACAAAAACTGATCTCTGGTGTTGGTAAGAAATATACAACTGTTAAAGGAACAAAGCAGGCAAATTATTATTTAGCAATATTTACATGAACATAAGTGAATATTTAGTGATTCAGATACAAATAGTTCTCTGAATAATTTGAGTATATGAAATAGACGGATTTTCTAAAGAAAAAAAATTGAAATTAAATTTTTAAAGATCTTAATGATATTGCATAATATATCAACTGCAAATGAAATTTTTTATATCAATTCTCTTGTATTGTAAATGAGAAGAAATATATATTTAACAAATTAAATGCATTATTATTAAAAACTAGCAGTAGAGCCCGGCGTTGCTTGGGGATGTAACAGTAAGAGATAGATCAAGTATCGACCATCATAAAGACTGAAAAATAAAATTGACAAAGATTATTGTTTAAGGTTGACGGATACGCATGTCTTAATTAGTTTTTTTTTTTTTTTTTATGAATTGGTCAAACCCAAACTCAAACAAAAACATTGCTTTCAATTGTTATGAGTCTATCGATTGAATAGAATTTTTAAAGCATTCTGAATGTAAAAATAAAGAAAAAAGTGTGCAAGACAATAAGAAACACTACCTGCCAAAAAAAAGTGAAGTTTTGTTGAAATCGATTGAAAAATGTAGGAAATCCGATCCCATATATAAAGGAACACACACACACACACACACACACACACACACACACACACACACACACACACACACACAACCTGGGTTTTATAAGTATAACTCGATATGAGTTGTCCCCCTTTCATTCTTGTGACAGTGATGCCTCTTAATCATGTTTTCAAATTGATTTCATGCAAAAACAATTGTGTTTTTCCAATTTTTGGCACTGTCAGAACCACCACAAGGTAATTTTGCGTAGTCCTGTGAAGGTTTGTTGAAATCGGTTGAAAAATGTAGGAAATCCGATCCAATATATTAATGAACAGACACACACACACAATCTGGATTTTATAATAAGTATGATTAAAATTTTATTAATGTTTTTTAGCAAATGTACATCCTAATATAATTCTAAATATTTAAAATAATCACCATTATTTGGGGGACAAAATATGTAATCTCCATCTCCAGTGAAGAACTGGCTGTTCTGCCCCAGGCTTCCATCTAAAGACAGGTCTTTCCAATTCTTTTTATACTTTAATGGCAGCCGGAGGT